AACTTAATCAAGAGAAAATAGGGCACAGGGTAGTGACAGTTAAAAGTCTGTATCACATCTCACCTTGAGCAAACCACAGGATGATCACAACTGAACCAGTCTTTCTATGAGGGAAGATGGGGCCTGAAGGGTGAGGCACAGTAAGGTTAAAAAGAACAAAGCCTTCTCATTCTAGTCCTAGCAAGAGGATGCTTTAGCAAATAAAAAGACCCACAGCATTATCTGGACAACTAGACATCTTCCTCCCCATTGTTAAATTTAAGAAACATTTATATGGTAGTCTGACTTGAAAAACAGAGCTTAAGTGTCCAGAGTGGAATCAGGCTAAGAAATCAGGAAGCCATTTCAGACCAAAGAACCATTTAGACTCTTTCTCACCATGGGCCATATCCTGTAGTTTTTATTTGAAGTCTCATTTTCTGTTGCTTCAATATGCCTTCTGAATTTTAACATGGGTAGCACTTGTGTGCTTCATTCAGCACTTAGTTGCCTAAAATACTGATAAAAAAGTACCAAAATATAACTGACTCCAGGGCATTTGGGTTTGAAGAATAGCTCCTCTTTTCTCAAATGTTAATATCAAGATTGTCTAACAAAGCCAAAAAGGAGAACTTGAAAGTTTGATTCAGCATTTAATATCCAGTTGTAGCTATTTGCAAGTATGTTTTGTCTTGTCTCTCGTCATTTCTGTTATATTCCTTCCATGCATTTATTTGAATCAACAGTTAAATTAGATAATGTTCAATTTACCTCAACATTTATGCCTGACAACAGCCTCTATGGTCACAAGGTGATGATTTAATTAGAGGAACCAAGCAAAATTAGAAGGTATGTGTGGTGTGAGAGAGGAAAAAAACCCTTTTGTTGAAACATGTATTTTTTTCTGTGAGACAGATTTGAGCAATTCTAGCTCTGGCACTGTGATAGTGAGGGGATATGGGAATAAATAACAGTCAAGTTCTTCCCTCATTATAAATACTCTTTTCTGCTAATCAGCTCAGGCATGTCTCTGCTCAAACCCCTCCTCTGTCCTTACCAGAGGACCATGACCTGGGCCATGCTGCTTTGCCACATCATGTCCAGCCAGCAAAGCCACTTGCAGCCATGCAGGAGTGATGCAGTCGTGACTTAGATTTCATGTTACAGCCCTCAGCATCCCATTTTGCACTGGCAAAGGAAGTCAGTAGTAGCATGACCCTGAGGAGGTGATGCTGAATATAGCAGTTACCCTTCAAATGTTCCCAGTTCCTTAGATAACTCCATAGCATTGCTTGTGTGCAGCAGTCTTTATACCCACACTTAGAGTCCTGCATATTTTGTAGTATAGTTATTTGGTTATCAAAGGTATGGTAAATGTTTCAGATAAGGACTGGAATTTTCTATATATAGGTAACAGTAGGGGGTGGTGCTTATCTGGATAGTGGGATTTTTAGATGCTGGAGGTTGAAAGAGAGTGGAAAAGGGATGCACATATGATCTTTCATATAAAGTAGTCTGGTGACAATGCCTGGCTCGCACTCCCTTCATTCACCCTTTGATGTTCAGACCATGCAACAGATGTGAAAGGAATGATTGACAGTGCCAAAACAACACATGGTGTCTAATGAGGTCACTGGGGCTCATCACTCCCAGTTTTGATATTTTAATCTGAGCCCCTCAGCTTCTAACAGTTTGATTCTCCCTTTTGTTTGCCCACAGCTGTTGCAAACTGGCCATCTTCAAGACATCCCCGGAAGACAGAGACAGTCTGGTACCTTCAGGTGTACCTGTCTCCAATCTCTTTCCACTACTGACTGTCAACCTGCTGCAGGATTTGGCTTGCAAGGCCAGGGTCTGTCACCGACCTGCCTTCACATCCATACATATTCACCATGAGGAGTCAGTGTAATGGAATTCGGCCTTGCCTGAAAAGTCACAGTAAATCCTGTATAGAACACAGGATGACTGCCCTCCCTGGCAGACCTTGGGGATCCCCTGCGGTATCAGTGTGCATCCTCCAGCTGCTGCATATGGCATTTGCTGAAGACAGTCTGGGTAACACTGAACAAATGAACCAAACACTGGGCTTGGATAGCGCTTCTCCTCCTTACCATGAGGCACTGCCAGGCATTGCTGTGCAGGGGAGATGCCGCAGCCTGTCCCAGAGAATAAATGTGGGACTAAACATGTGTGTGCTACTAAAGAGCAGAAAGTACTCTGTACACTCTGTACACTGATTCCAAATCCTTGCACAGCAAAGATGCTCTCAACAACTTTATGACTTCCATAAAATAAATGGCTTAGCCAGTTCTATGTGAACATTACATATTGCTGACTGCCATTGACTGCCATTTAAGGAGATAAGAACAGCAATATGAAATAAGAAATTTTATGTTTCCTTGCAATTACAAAGTACTATGACTGAACGTTCCTAAAACCTCTTGTTAATGGAGGAAGGACAGAGTTTCTCACAGATACCAAATACGATTCCAAAACTTGAAACCCTGTGTGATTTTGAGATCCTTTCACCCTATCAGTCACTGCAATTCATCTAGCTCCTCGAGGCATTTCTTTCTGCAGTGGTGCTGCAGGGGAAAGCAGCTTATGGCCTCACCTGCTTCTTGCAGAGCAGCACTGGCTACCCCTGCTCTGCAGGACCCTGCAGCTCTGATGCTCTGGCTATGGGACCCTGAAGCTCCGATGCCCTGGCTGTGGGTTAGCTTCACCTACAGGTGAGGTCTGGGCTTGCGCTAGCACCACCACAGCCTCCTATGTCCCTGTCTGGAATGCCCTAAGCCGCTGCCAAGCTGAATGATCAGTCAACCAGGACCACAGGTAGCAGATCATGTCAAGACACAGCCTTAGTGGTCAAGTGGGTAACACTGGGACTCAGAATCTGCCTTAAAGTTTGCATGGACATGTCAGTGTGATTACCCTGTGTTTGGGATTGCCTGTCTTTAAAAGGCAAAATAGTACTTCCTCAGTGGCCTAAGAGGTCATTGGCCGAGGTGAGCAGCTCCAGAGAGGAGCCTTCAACCCCGGAGCGAGGGAGAAACCCGCGTGCAGGAGCTCCGGTTCCGAGAGGCGAGAGCCACCGAGGGAGCCTCCAGCCCCCGCCAGGCCCTGCCCGGGAGGCGCCGCAGCTCCACTGAGGCGAGCGCGGGGCAGCGGGCGGGGTGGGGAGCGCTCGCCTCACAGCTCTGCTCTGGCTGCCCCGGCGGTGGGGGGCGGGGCCGATGAGAGGGACTGCAGCGCGGAGCTCGGGGTGTAGAGAGTGCCTGCACTGGTCTGGTGAGGGGAGGGTGCGCCATGGGCAGGGCTGCACTCGGTGCCCTGGTGGGGGTCCTCCTGCAGCAGGGGCTGAGCTGAGGGGCGCTGGCGGTACCTGAAAGGTGTCAGGGAAGCTGAGAGGGAGCTGGGCTGCTTGCTCCAGGCCCAAACTGTGCAGGGGCCACAGGCGTCCACCATAGCGCATATAGAAAAGGAGGAGGACAGTAATACAGGGAGCTAGGAGCTAATAACTAAAAGCAACAACGACAACAATAACAAAACACACGCACATACACCAAAAAAAAAGAAAAAAAAAAGAGGAAGAGGACAATTAAAAGCAAGGGGCTTCCTCCAAAATCTGATCCCCCCACCCAGAACCACTTTGCAGTTGTGCAGGAAGCTAAAAAGGAAAACCACGCAGCATCAAATGAACATCCTGCTGATGTTCCAGTAAAGAGGATCACTACTGGTGCCTCCAGGAAAAAGTGGCAGGTCATAGCAGTAGATGGCTCTACTTTGAAGAGCACAGAGGCACCCATCTCTAGTCTGACCCAGTCTCCAGGGAGGTGTGTTGCCTACCAGGGGCTCGCATCAGGGATGTTGTGGAGAGACTGCCTGGTCTAGTAAATCTTGCTGACACCCACTTCTTGTGGTCCATGTGGGTGCTAGTGGTACAGCAGTAGCCTGGGAATCATTAAGGACTACAGAGCCCTGGGAGAGGTGGTTGGGGGCTCTGGGGCTCAAACAGTTTTTCCATTGATCCTCCAGGTCAAAGGGGAGGACCTTGAAAAGAGCAATTTGGCAGGTTAATAAATAGTACAGTGGTGCAATAGTCATGCGTTTGGTTATTTAGAGCATGGGGCTCGATTTGGGAGGCCAGGTCTACTGGAGGCTACGAGCTGCTCTGGGCTTGCCAAGCTGGTCAAGGCAGCTTTAAACTAGATGTGTTGGGGGAGGGGACATCGCTCCATCCCAACACTCCCAGTCAGTTGCCAGCACCTCTAATAAATGTTTTGAGTGATGCAGAGCTATTTCAGCTGTTCCAGCCAATGGGTCAGCTTCACTTGGAGCTCGGCTCAGATGCCTCTATAAAAATGCCTGTAGTATGGGCAATAAACAAGAGGAAATAGAGATGTGTACATGACTGCAGGGGTATGATATCATTGGCATTGCAGAAACATGGTGGGAAGGCTCCTATGACTGGAGTGTTGGAATGGAAGGTTATAGGCTCTTTAGGAAAGACAGGCCAGTCAGATGGGGAGGGGGAGTAGCTATTTATGTCAGTGGTAGGCTGGAGAGTATGGAACTCTTGTCTGGGGACAGGTGATCAGTCAACACAGAGTTTGTGGGTCAGGGTCAAAGGGAGAGAGAACAGTGCTGGGGGGTATTACTGTGGGGATCTGTTCCGGACTGCCCCATCAGGAGCTTAGATATAAGGAAGAAGTTCTTTACTGTGAGGATGGTGAGGCACCGGAACAGGTTGTCCAAGGAAGTTTTGAATGCTCCATCCCTGGCAGTGTTCACGACCAGGTAGGCTCGACTCTTCGGTGACATGGTTTAGTGTGTGGTATCCCTGCCCATGGCAGGGGGGTTGGAACTAGGTGATCTTAAGGTCTTTTCCAACATTAACCATTCTATGATTCTATGAATAGCATAGAGTATAGATGAAAATAAGTCCTAGGTTTGGTCATTATTTTGGTGGCTCTGTCTCTGTACATCAACAGGTCTACCCAAGTTAAGAAAAGACTCCATTTAGTACATGTTATTTTAATCTTTGATTAGTTTTTAGCATTTGAATAATAGCTTTTGTGACATATGTGACATGTCACATTTCAGGCTTTTAGTGGGGCATAATGAGTATCATGATTTTTCACTTCTCAAGGGTCCCTCAGCCACTGAACTCTGATGCTGCACACTACAAATAATTTCAGCTGGTTAGGGCTGGGTAATCCCAGCATGACATTTCATATCCAGTTCACTTTTCAATGATTTATTTGTAATTTCTGCTAAACTGCACTTAAAGTTATCCAGGACTTGACTGCTAGATCAGTAACAGGTAACCCTTGCCAACAACACAGTTTGTTTTGAAGGCAAATATAACTAGGAGACTGAGAATAAATTGACAGGTTAAGAGATTGTGGGTGGGAACTGATGCTCATCCTCTCTCCGAATGCCAGCTTCCAGAGCATTGTGCTGTCATCCGGCTGACCTTCCTCTCTTTTTCTTCTGCTGACTGTGGCCTAAAGTAAGAGCACCTCTCTGTAGTCAGAGCTGAGCCTGAAAAAGAAGAAACTCACAAAAAATCCTTTCAGAAAAAAAGAAATGCTTCTTAAAAACAAGTCCTCGTGCTTTCACCTTTGTCACAACCCACACTTCAGTAGTGGTACCATCCAGGACCCCATGACATTATTAGCTCTCAGATACAATCCAGCCTGGTTAGTGCTGTCCTTGCTGCAATTGTACGCTGGGAATACCGGCCTCACCTTGGATTACTTCTTGGGAGCCTTCCCCACCAGCAGCATCCCAGTCCCCTCTCTGCTGTGGTAGGTACATCCCTAAGAGTTGCACTCCTCACAGTGGCAGGAGAGGATGTAGCGATAGGTGGCAGTGAGCCGCATGCCCCCTGAACATCGCAACCGCATGGCCTTCAGCTTGGAGGTCTGCGGCCTGCAGCAGTGGCAGGTGGAGCGGAAAGGCTGCTTCAGAACAGTGCTGAAAGAAACCATCGGTTCTGAGCGGGACATCTGGCTGCAGCGGCCTTCACAGCGAGCCAGCAGTACCATCTGCAAAGGAAAAGAGACAGGTTAGGAAACATGCCCCCATGGCTGCCAGCACATAGCTAACACCAGCAGATAGGTACATCCTTCCAGTCTGGCTGGTCTTTCTCCGCTTGCTGCATCCCCCGCACCTCGGCTAGGGCAGCCAGCCCCACGTAGTTCATTGCTCCTGAGCTGTGTCTGGAAGAGGTAACAGCAGAGGAGGTAACATGGGCAGGAGGAAAAGCAAGGCTCCTGAAATCCTTTGCACCAACACAAATAAGGACCAGAGGGGGTCTGAAAGCTGGCATTGGGACACCATGACTTTCCAGCCATAGTGACTGCAGCTGTGACTTGCTGACCCCAGATCTGTGGCAGCCAAGCCCTTAAGTCATCACCCATACTGTTGCTTCAGTTGGATTATTTTCCAGTGTTTTGAGTGTATTTATTGGTGATCAGCAGGACTGGTCCTCAGGGCTAGTGAACATCTCAAATGTTTAGATGTATAAACATGTACAGTACAAATATGATACTGTTTATTGCTTGTAAAGGATAAGTTTCTAGCTCCTTCCTTTTACAAAGATCACCTTGAATATATAATTGAAATTATGTGTGTGTTTATATATATATGTAATTGCATCAGTTGTATCTGTATAAAATGCCCAGCATAGTATAAGATAGTGAAAGTGTAAGGGAGTGAAAATGTAAAAAAGATGAACTCATTGCCAGACACGAGGGTTTGCTAGTAAGATTTTTTTTCAAAAGCAGTACAGGCTGCATGGTTCTGAGTTCAGTAATCCGTGACCAGAACAAGGTAACTTGCACAACAGGAGGCACTAAGAAAGGAAAGCTCATAGGAGTCATCTGCTCCCCTTCTCAGCACCTTGTTGAGCAAAGGAGATAGATAGTCCTCTAAGCCCTATAGAAAACATGGAAAGGATCTTCTGAAGCTCTGAAAATTATGTGGAAATTATCAAGGTAGTAATAGCTGTTACACAGTTTGAACAAACTCTTATGCCTTCGTGGGAAATTAAATGTTAAGCCCACATTAGCTAATTCTGCTTAACTAACAGAAATGAACTTATATCATCCAAACAAGGTTAAAATTTGACAGAGGTAGGAAAGTAGGCAGTAAAGCAATTATAAATTTATCCTGTAAACAAGGAAGAAAATTGTATTTTAACCATGCTACACATCTCATGTTTCTTCCAGACAATCTAAATGGGTAACTACGGACGTGACAGCAAATATTTTACTATGTCAAACCTTTTTGAGCTTCTTTCACTACCCATGCTGAATTGACTGCCAATCTCCAAGTTTTGCAAGCACGTATGTCAACTGTTTAGCCACAACCCAGCTTTTTATGAATCAGCTATGTCTAGCTCCTTAATACCTGTGTCTAGTGTACATGAGAACAGGGAAACAGACAATCTTTACAGTGCTAGCACCACGTTACTGATAGATAAAGAGCCACTTTTTTTCCCTTAGGAAACAAAACTCACTTCACGTAGTGACATGCAGGCAGCTGGTAAAGAGCTACACAGGTACCTAATCCCACCTGTGTTGCAAAGGGAAGACAGCAGATTGGGACATTCAGAACAGTTAGTTTGCTTCCCAGCATCTGGACAGCTCTTGCTAGGTCCCCCATTTTGACCCGTTCACCAGTGCTGTCTGTCACAGGCCATTCCCAAGCATTTGGCTGAAGAGGAGGGTAAAAAGCACTACAACGACAGCTGGCAACTGCTTGAAGATTGCAAAGACAATGGAGCCAGACACTCCTCAGGGGTGGCAAAAGGGGACATGCAAAGGCCACATATTGTTTTTGGGAGTGTTCAAAGTCCTTTCCAAACAACATTTCTATGATTTCAGCCCAAATAAATCAGCATGCATTGCTATATGGTGGTGATTTCTAATGGTTGATGCTTCTGGAGCTGGAACAGTTACTTATTTCTGGTACCATTATTCTAAGGATTTTTTATGGCACACATCAGCTCCTGAACCTTCAGGTACTTTCAGAAATGCCGGGGTGGGGGTGGGGAACCAAACACAGAAAGAACCCCAAAAAACACAAAACAGCCAAGGGCAGGATTAAGGACTACGGAAGAGTTACAGCAGTGTAATTATAAGGTAGAATTACCTGACATGACAACAACTGTATCTCAATACATTTCTTATAATGCTTTCTAATAAAAGCTTCCTATAAAAACTTTCTAAAGTAAACCCAGTCAATATTTCTTCAATGTGCAACTACATTTATCGTTTCTTAGCAAGCCTTGTCTTTAAAAACATGTATTAGTCTTTGAAGACTAATTTTAAACTCAATTTTATTAAACTTAAGTTTTATTTTGTTTTCATAAGGGTATGGTCAGTATTCATGTCATGTAAAATTACACACTGTTGAGTTTATGCCCTGTGTTTGGATGACAAATGGCACAGTACCATAGGTATTAATTGAATTTTCCAGGATAAAAAAAAAAAAAAAAATCAGATTTCCCATTTTGATTGATAGTTTTTACACTTCTGGGCTAACCTGAAGTTCTCCAGAAAATATAACCTCCTCATCCTCGTAAAACCAGAACAGCACCAGCAGATTTTGGCAATTGTGCAAATGAGCTGGAAATAGCATGTACTTTAAAAGCTCTGCTTTGCCATTTAATCAATTGCACCAGCTGCTGATTGCATCGTATACTATAGCACAATAGAGATTATCGCCTAAATAATTAGTAATGCTATGATGGCATAGCACAATAATACAGTGGGTATATAAATAGTAAAAATCTGAGGGAATTTTATAACCTGATATGCATGCCTCTTGGCTCCCCTTATCCTCTGCACATGTGAGCTTGTGTGTGTCACCTTGTGGTGCTGGATCCAGAAGCACAGCATGCTACAGCATGAGAGTCATGGGAGTCTAGTTTGTGAGCAGCTAGGGAAGAACATGTTTTCTTACTTAAAGTCATCAGTCTAGGTCGGTATCTGGAAGGTCACAAAAACCAGCAGCTTGAATCTGAGGCAATATTTGACTGATCATTCAAGCTCTATTCTGGAAATTTGGAAGCTGTAAAGTAGTTTGTTATTAATGGTGTTTATAGATTCTTCTCCACATTCTTCAGCAACAAGTTGAGGCCTGAAAGCAGATGGGCCGAGATGTTTGAGAACGGACTTTTACATATTATCCGTGGCCTGGATGCAAGCAAGCATTACTGAAAATTTCCTGAGCTATCTCATGAATATATCATCAAATACTTGCTAAATCTTTCTTCATCTGCTCCATGTCTGTCTGGGATGGACTCTTCAGTGCAAGGCTGTTAGTGGTAGCACACTTCTGGCACATCTGAAGGAAGCACTTACGACAGCCAATACTGTAATTTAGCAGTCTCTGGTTGCAGTGGCAAGGCAATCCAGCACATCAATGAAGACCAGAAGGTCTCCGTGACAGAGGTCAAGCAGAATCCAATATAGTCAGGAAAGACAATACCTCATCAGCTGATACAAACATTTCCTTGAAGTCAAAGGAAAACACTGTTTTTCAGGAACAAATAACCTTCTTCCACCCTTCTTTTGTTATACATTCTGTTACTATAATGGACTACATTTCTGAAGGCTTTGGAAACCTGTTTCCAACATCTGCCTGAGGTCACAAGCAAGAGGGATTTTAATGATTAAATTAAATTGGGTGGATATTTCCAAACGTAACAAAACTACTTCCCATGTGGGTATAATTGGCAGCCTCCACGTAGAAGCACAGTGGACATAATCCTTTTTTAACCAAGACAGACAGCAAACATACTATGTCTTGCAATTTCTGAAGCCATTTTTAACTTCTGTAATTCTATGCTGCACTAAAACAGAAAACATATGGAGTGAAAAAGAATGGCTTGGTGGAACCAATGTATAGTGCCAAAAAAGGGCAAAGTCTCTGACATCAGTTGGCAGTCCAAGCTTCACAATGGAAACTCAGTGAAAACAAGAGGTACCACAATTCCCACAGCTACTGCCACAGAATGTTCCTTTATTTAACTTGTTTATATTTTATCACAATATATATAGGGACAGACATTGCATCTAATTTTCATTAGCAAGTCCAATATTGGTCTGTGTTTGTATGCTAGATCCAGAACAGAAGCCATATGTCTACCAGGGTGATTCAGATTCCTGAGACCTCAAAAAAAAAAAAAAAAAAAAAAAAAAAGCTTGATTTAACAAACAGATGTTTTCTAGGAAATGTCAAAATTATTTTGCTTTGTATGGAAACTGTTTTCATTTTCCACTTCATAAGAAAGTCCATACAACATACAGTATTGTTAAAAAACTGTTCCTGAAACCATTGTAGAATTTGGCAAGCCAAGAGATGTGATAATATTTTTAAACATGATTTCCATTAAAGGCTTGAATTTAAAAAACAATCACTGACATTTTTGCAGTCAGTTACAAATGTTTATGTCAACAGCTTTTTTCTCAAAGCTCAGTTTTGAAATAATGTGGTTTTCATTACAATGCATTCTGTGTTCTCATTTCTATTAGTCCCTATCCTAAAGGCCTGATTGATTTTCAGTGTCACTAGGGATGGTAAGAAATTGAGTTCTTGTTGACTTTCTGTCTCTCTTTTTCTTTCTCTGTCTCTTTTTTATTCTCTTTCTTTCTCTCTTTCTTTCCCTCTCTCTTCTCTCTCACTCTTTCTTTCTCTCTCTCTTTTTCTCTTTCTCTCCTTCTGTCCCTCCCTTCCTCTTTTCTTCAGAAAAATAACCCTCTGTCTGATGTCTGTGGGAGCCCAGAGTGCAGAGGGCAGAGGGGGATCAAGTAGTACATGAGGTTACTGTTCGAACTCAGAAGCAGTAGGGCAGAAGTCCGATTTCCCACCGCTGTGGATCAGCCATGGTTATGCCAAACTGGGCAGGCAGCACTGCTGTGAGACCAGTGTAATCAGAGAGGGGCTTTTCCCAGTGCCCCATTTCGAGGCTGTCAGCCCCTCTCTGGAGAGCAGGCACAGGCAAGCCCCACAGAAGATTCACATTGCACTGAACAGGTCTTATTTTCTGTTGATGCTTCTCTCTGTGCTTTATTTTAATTCTTATGGCCTGCTACTACCTCTGGTATTACCTCACCCCTGTGCTTATCACGGGAAGCAAGTAACTCACTGCACACAAAGGCATCTGGGGGTCTTCTCAGCTAGTGCTGCACCCATCTGAACTGCACGGATCCTCCCTCCTTGGAAATCCTCTCAGGATCACCACTGCTGGGGTCTTTTATTAAGTAACCCTTTTGTCCTGAAACCTGTCACATACCTGTCTCCCATTGCTCTCTTACCCAGCACAGGGCTGGCAAAAGCATTCGTGCTGGCAGTTGATCTCTTTCATTAATCCAGGGGTGTGGGTGCATAAGGCAAAGCTACTTTCTGCAGGACAGAGGAATGGGCCAGTTTGAGGCTGTACATCTGAATGTACAGTATGTGTTACCCCAGCCAGAACAAATTAGGACCAAAAAAAAAAGGGACCAGTAAGGATTTTTCCATTGTTTTTCTCCATTCTTTTCCTTCACACAATGAAATAGATGACTGTAGGGTACATGTGCAGACTGCTAAATCATTTTGACAGAAAAAAATTCAGGCTTAAAATCTCAAATGAAAGGCAATATTTTATTTCTATCTGCTTCTAACCCTGACAGTAAACATCTGATTGTCATTTTGTGTGAAAACAAAGGCCTTGAAACTAAATAGGGGAAAAAAAGCACTGTTTTTCACATTTTATTTTCACTACCATTTTACAGCTTGATTCTTTATCTCTGTATTTCACCTTGAAATTTGTAAGTTTACATATTCTAGATTAAAAACTCAGTTGAAGGACAGGGTGGCTGGGATGATCTAAACTTCCAAACTAGCTCATCTCCTTGGCACCAGTGGCTGAGGCCCAGCGTGCTCCTTTGAATATTATTATTTAGCACATTAGCTTTACCATCATGGTGTGTATCTCCTTTTGAAAAGGTGAAAAGAGAGTCAAGAGCCTTTCTCTCCAGTGCCAGTTCTAATGTACACACTTACATGTCTCTACATCTACATGTCTTTGCAACTAGATTTTGGTAGTAAGGAATTTGTGCAGAGAAAATCACTCCAAATGGCTCATTTTAACAACCCTGTCAATGCAGCACCCTGCTGTGAGGGGGTAAGGGAAGTCTTACCTTCGAGCTACACTTGTAGAGCGGGTGGCTGATGGAGTCAACATAGTGATGCCTCATACAGCGGCTGGGGTCGGGGTCGATCATGAAGGAACTGTCTGTTTTACTGTCTGCATCTCCCATCATTGCCAGGAGTGAAAGCATGGAAATCGAAGCCGCAAGTACGTGATTTCCCATTGTCGAGGAACTTCTCGCTGATAACAGCAGAGGGAGGCAGAGCATTAAAGAAACTCCAAATACTGGAAGCCAGTTCCTTTCCAGGATGGTGAAAAGTCTGGTTTAAGTGTCTTAGCTGTCATTCTTCTTCTCAAGTTGGAGTTTGCTGAAATTGTAATCCGTCAAAGAATCTCCTGCATAGCTGGAATAAAAACAACATCAATCACAATCCTGACCAAAAAGACCTCTGAATTAAAACATATAAATAATACAAAGGCACACAGGATTTTTGCTAGCCAAAATACATGCTCTAAGTGAGCATCATTCCCACAGTAGGCAAGTATATGGCATTAGGGAAAACACGTTAAGGCCCTGTTACCTTAAGCATTGCTCTAACATTTCACTGGGGAGAACCTTTTGACTTTTAACAGCACAAGTGGTGTAATGCTAATCTTTTTCACTGGGTGATGTCCCTAATGGGTACCCCTCAAAACTGGTGATTTGGATCAACATCTGAGATTTCTGCAAATTGAAAGAACTATGTATCCACTCAAGTCATCCAAGGGGGCAAAGTTAGGGTGCCTCCTGCATTACAGATGGAGATTTCTTTCCTAGGTAGCGCATGGGAAGGATGAAGGCAGATTGACCTCTGGCCTTAGGGCCTGTATGTAGGCCTCCTGCAAGGACAAAGGAACCCCCAGGATGGAGGGATGCTGAGGGTCTGAGTCCATACATGAGCAAAGTGTTCCCCAGGAATCTTGCTGAGCACTGACCTGCACTGCATGGAGCACTACTTACGTCTCTGGCTGCCCTGCCCTCCTGACTACCAAATTCAGACACGTGCAGGTGGGCATGCCTTACTTGGTTTCTCATCAGGCTGCACTCGCTCAGTGTCAGTCTTTTCCCCCTTCATTAAATAGCAGCATCTGAAAAATACACTATATTCCATAACATCCAAATATTATGGATTCCATAATATCCAGCTGCCACTTGGGAAAAAAAAAAAAGCAACATATGCAGGTGGAGTCACATGTATATCCACCCAGACATCCGGATTTTTGGTGCATGTTGGAGACCAGGAGATCCCCCAGAAAACAGGCACAGGGCAGCCCCTGAAATGCTGCCTGGAGCTCTGTGCCAGCAGGGAAATGGGGGGTATCTGCTGCATCTGCTTCATCACAGCCCCTTGATCCTTCTCACAAAGCCTGTAATCTCAAATGAGTGGTTTAATTTCTCTTTTTCTAAAAACAGCCGTAGCTTGAAAAAGCTCTGAATTATTCACCTAAATACAACCTGATGAAGCAAAGGATAGTCATAACTAAACTTAAAAGCATGAGAACTTTCTGAAGAAACTTACGATAGAACAGTTCCCTAGTCACAGAGAACTGCTTCCCTAGAGCCTCTTGCCTATTTAAGAGCTGATGTGTGCCTTTACTGCCTTATACAAGCCTCTTTCCAAACTGTTTTCTGGTTTGCTGGCAATACTCTAAACCAACTGATACGTATCTCCCAAACAGCCTGAAATTACAAGGCCTCCCCACCAGAGTGCTTGATGATTTGTGTACTGCTTTATAGCTTGCTCAAACACTGTTGTGAGAGGAGTGCATAGCAGTGAGAAACACTTCAAGAGTTCATCCAAGCTGGGAGTCAGGACTTGTCGGGCTGAAGTGACAGCCTGGTATATTTTCCTCAAGCAAATGTTTTTCAATGTATATGGCATTAAAAAAATGCTATGTCTTTGCAGTATAAGGAGCTTAAAAAACACTAACACTGAGGATCTTGCATACATTTATGCACAGTCTCATGCATGTCCGTAAATATCTCTCCAAACATTTTAGGAGGGTAAGAAAAATCTCTTGGTCATGGGAACAGGGACTTCTTCCCAGAACTGAACTGTTACTACTCTGGTTCATGCAGATGATGCCCAAGCATTAGCTAACAGGAGGAGTGATGCACTTTTATTTTTTTATATTTAACCTTTTACCTACATTCCTATTCTTCTTTAGAAAGAGGCTGACCAAAACATGCTGCTTGGCAAGGTCTCTCTCCAACATAGTTAATCAGTATTACACACCCAGTAATTCTTTCTCTGTCCAAATAAATTTGCTTGATATTGGACAGTCTCAGCTCATGTAATAATATATCTAGGGATCCCCATTTCCCACTCTCTCCGTCCCACTGTTAATTTTGTGCTTCTATATCTTTCTATGGTTCTGATCAGTATGATTTAATACAGTGAGAGAAATCCAGAGTCCTGGCTCTGTTTTCAAAGGCTTATCTCTCTAGTTTTCTTCAGGAAATAATTGAATGACATAGAGTCTGCCTCATGAAAACACTTTGAAAAAGCTGGAAAGAAGTGGGGAAAAATGTGAGAAAAGGAAGATGTCTGTACCTTCTTCAGGGTAAGCACAGCACAACACAAAAAGTATTAACACTTTCACAATCTTTTAAAATTTCCCCAGTACCTCCCTGACAAAGAAATGTAGTGGGGTTTAGCAACAAAACTTTGAAAGAAGAAAAAAGTACTATTATCACATATTTGTTAGTAAAAAGAGAGACCATAAAAAGATGTAAATTGGACCCATATTTTGTAAAGAATCTGTGTACAGTTGTTGACAGACATACTGCCAAAGTGCATGTGTAGGTATTGGAAGCAGGACTGCAGACAACACCGGGCTGTTTGCACATGCCAGTATCTCTTAACATACATATATAAAGTATACAAACACATTTTTCAAGTACATAAGCCATATATAACTGAGATACATGGGAAAAATGTCTCACAGGGACATTTAAACATATAGAAGTTTGCGTGTATATTTTTGATTGTGCAAAAAAGTCTAAATATCTTCACTCGGGTACATCACTGTGATAAAGTATGCTGACATGACATTTGTATCTTCCATTTCCAGCTGATACTGTACAATGACATTTCCCTTTAACATTCTGTTGTTTGGGCTTGGGTTTTGTCTTTTGGGGGTTTTTTTTTTTTTTTTTTTTTTGGTTGTTGTTGTTGTTTGTTCTAAACAAGGTATTCTTTTTGAAATGCTGTCTGAAATTATAAAATTCTAAACAGTAAGACAGTATTGAGTCATATATGTAGCTTCCAGTTTATTCTTCTGTCTAAAACCAGAAGCAAAAACACCTGTAATCATTAATCACTATAGCTATACTTATGACAACATTTTGTTTCATTTGAAAAATACATTTTTTAAATAAAAATCAACAATTTCACATAGAAATTTTTTCTTTTATTTGAGCTGGTTTTCCCTTAATTTCTTTTCATGTGAAAAACTAGCAAACAGCTCATTTCCCAGGCTAACAAAAAGGAAGATAAAATGCTTCCTCTTTACAGCATCCATTAAAGAAAAAGATGCAAAGGTGACTTCATGTACTCAGGCTGAAAATTGGCTACAGAAATATTTGGCCTAACTGTGGATGAAAGCCACTACTTTCTGTTTTTTCACAATTCACTGATATGGGTATTACATGTTGTCAGTAATAGGCTTATAGTGTCTTTTCCATATAACTAGTTTTCAGGATTTCATAAAGACATAACATGCTAAAAGCTGTTACAGCTGTTACCTGCAACTGCTACAGCTGTTCCCCAAGAACTTCAGTGAAAGATAGAAGACATCTCAAAGAAAGACCACATGAACATACAATCCGAGACTGTATTACACATGAACATAGGGGTAGAATTAGGGTTATTTTTCCAACTTCATGTTGTTATTAACTGCTTTTGAATGTTGAAATAAAGATTTTTTTTTAATAGTCTTAATACCATTTAGAGAGTGGTGAAGGTTAAGATTTTGTTTTGCTTTAAGGACAGAAGAAAATTCCATCATCTGGAATTATTTAGCCAGTCACTTTGTGAGAACATAAACAGAAATTCCCTTTTTGCTATGTATCTTGGAAAAAATAAAGAGCTGAGCAATTCTCCAAAGGTCTATTGGATCTGTACCGCTTTTACCCTGGAAGGTAGGAAGGGAGCAATGGAAAAGCTCATTTATAGTGTATTTCTACTTAGCTGTTCCCCGCTCCTGAGCCCCCTGAATTAGGCATGCACGTATGTTCAGCTTGGCCTCCATTTGATGTGCATTTTGTCTGCTTGAGACTCCTGCTTGACAATGAGGGTACAATTCAAGTCACTCACTGCCTTTTATGTTTTGGAGGCTGCCAAAATGCCATTGGAGCAGCAGTGTGTATATATAACTAAGCCTGGCCTTGCACGCTGTGCATATTTAGTAAACACAATTACTTGGATCCTACCATGTGGTTCCCTCATTCTGAATTTGTTATGTAAACAGAAGAGTTACAAGACTACTCAGTTTCTCCAAACTCCAGCCCTAGAAAAGTGTTACTAACCATGTATGTGTATACATATGTGTATGTGTGTGTAGTTTGGAGCTGCTGTTTGGAGACAAAAGCCACAAAGATCTTCATGAGACCAAACCAGATTTCTGAAGAACTTTACCCAGCCTGGAAAAGTTTAGGCCAGAAAGATGAGGGTGTGGGGGTTTTGTGCTCCAAGATCTGGACTGAAGTGGAAGTGACTTGGGCAAACTACAGGTTATACCTGTATATAACTGTCAGGTTCTGCAGGATTATACTCTCCATGAGGAGGGCCACGAAAGGGATGGGGATGGGAAGGCAAGGAGGAACAATCTTCCTCTGGGCATGGGGTAGTGCTGTCATGTCCCCACTGATGGGGATTTCTGAATAATGGATCTGTGCTTTCAAGGTGCTTGAGGAACCATTGTTTCTGCTCCTGCAATAAGTTGCCAAGACCTCAGCTGGCCTGTCAGCTGGGGGGCCCCTAGAGCTATTCCATGCTCCATCAGAGCTACCAGATGTCAGCAGCAGCTGGACTGCACTATTGCCTGGGCTACCCTTGTGAAGGGGTACCTGTGTCCCAAAGCCATGCATTGTTCTTTATATCTGGAGCTCAAATCTTGCTCTAAAGACACATCTGTGCTGGCACATTAAACCCCCTTGTAGTGGCTCTTTAGCCCTGCAGCCACATGGCATGGAGAGGTCTGTTCTCAGACCTCCTCCAGCCTCCACAGTAGTCAGAAGGCTTTCAGCCCCCACAACCACCTGCACCATGCCTGGAAACCTATTGAGAAGCACTGTGTACTATGGGACAAAATTGTACGAGTGACTTAGCAATTTAAGAGAACAGTTTATCTGGTAGGAGAGACCACCTACGATGCTATGCCTGATCCTGCTTTCTGTTGAAAACTTAGAGGCTGTATTTTAGCTCCATAAATAAATGTAGCTCTCTTCTCACGTAGTTATTTTACTGTGGTCTTCTCTGTTCCAGCAGTGAAGTGGCTGGCATCCTGTAAATGCTATCAAAATCCTCTCTCTGCTCTGCCCCTGACTTTCAAAACACCTGACAAAGTCACTGACCAGCCATGTGGTAACTGTGAAGCAGCAGGTGAACACAGGGAACTCCGGTTTGTGAAATGTCTCCATGCAGCATTTGAACAGGTTCCTTCCCCTCCCAACACAGGGCAAATACCATACTAAATATTTTGAGTGAGATCCTTATAGGTGTAAGTAACTGAAAAGCCTGCCCAAGGCCTCATTGTGCCAAATGAGCATTTGCCCTGCGGACACCCAGCTGTGTTGAAGCTTGTCCCCTCTGACACCCAGGGGAATGTTCTCAACCTTTGTACAGGTGCTTCATCTCCCCATTGCACAGTAGGTTGCAGGGTAGCGTTCCCCTGCATGAAAGGTACACAAATAACACACACTCCTGATGCAAGCTGGCAACAGCAGGTGGGCAAGAGGAGAGGGGAAGGAAAAAAGCAGTAGAAAGGAAAACAGGCTCAAAAGAAGGGACTCAAGCCTCTTCACCTTGTGTCTACAGGAGGGGAGCACATCTCCTACCGAGGCTGTGCTATCCTACTGCCTGCCAGCCAGCAGCTGCGGAGTGTTGCCCCATAAAAACCAAGAAGATAAAATAGACACTACCTCTGAGCAGTCAGAAATGTCAAACACGCTGATGGTATTTGAAAGAAACTCTTGTACATCATTTCTCGCTGTGAAGCTTTGCTAGTCTTTTAGTTTTTCAGGAGATGAATATCTGTGACTGTAAGCAGACTGAAAAAACAGAAAGACCATCGTATTTGAAGCATAAAAAATAACATAGTAATTGCAGCAAATGTAATGGAAGAACACGCTGCTGCAAGCAGCCTGGGAGCATGAGCAGGAATGGGATGAGCATGCATGGGACTGGTTCCCTGGGCTTTGATGGGGTGACTTGTGCAAGGCTCCCTTAAGTGTTTACTCAGCAGGGACCCGATGCATGAGGTGGAACAAATTAAGCTGAACAGCACTTGAGCTGGCTGAGTTTCCCTCTCCTTTTGAAGTTTCCAAGAACATTTCCAGTCCTTCAGGTAGCTAGGAGAGGGGGAGCTAACAGCGCCTTCCTGCTCGGTGGTTGAAATAACAAACTCTAGTGGGTACTGCAAGCTGGCGCCCTGCCAGCAGACAGGGCAACATGGAGAAAAGGTTTTTAATATACTTGCAAAGAATAACTACTGGCAGACAAAAGAGCGCTTGTATTTTTGTTCTTTCCTTTTCCTGCTTCCAGGAAACTTTAAATAGATTGATTAAGGGCATGCATGGGATCCCTCTCTAATGAGCTAGTAGAGCCATTTAATGGCGAGGTGATGCCAGCCTTAGGTTCTTTCTTTATTCTTGTGTCTCGCCGAATATCAGAATAGTCATGGTCTTGAGTCTGAGACAGGAATTAAGAGGAATACAGTTTTCCACTTGTTCATCCAGAGAGTGTCGGATGGGATCACTCCTCACTGAAGCACCAGGTGCAGAGCTGAGCTAAGTAAGGTTGACCATCCCTCTCCGGAGGCAAGCCAGCAAAGATGGTAGCTGGGTAAAGTGCAAATACTCCCAGCAAAGCATTAGCTATAGGATTTGCTCCAGTAATTACCTCTGCTTTAGTCTTGTGACCCAACATGAGGCAAAATGACTCTTGGCCAAATTACAAGTGGCTGAGAGGCCTAGGGCATTCAGGCATGTCATCTACCTGTTGGAGTGTGTTACAAGCAGGTGGGCAGTTTTTATTCTGTCTTTTGCATATTTTCTAGAGAATGCAAGGGACTGTAGTCATCAGTAGATGCAGCAATAGGAACGGGTTTCTTATTCTTTAAAACTAAGCAAAGACATCCCTGCCACTGGCACCAGCAGACAGTGCTATGCATGCTGGAGATAGCACATCATTGAAGGGCATGTTCCCTCTTTCCTGACCCAAGGGGCAAAATCCTTTCTTCTTTTATACACAGGCAAAATTCAGACCACCATCCATATACCTCAGCCTCTGATAATTAGGGAACCTAAATATTTGGCTCATGGTAACAATTTGATGTCTTCTAACAAGGGAAGCAGCATTCTCCTAGGTCCCACTCTCTTTGAGCGTGCTGCTATGACAGTAATGCAATTGTCACTGCCATGGTATGCTTAACCTTTGCCAAATCAGAGCTGAGGCATTAACTCAGATCCTCAATTCACATGTCTTAAAGGGCAACATAACCTGTGCTGCCTCCGCACTGCCAGACCGACAGTTTGCAGCTCAGTAATAATAAGCACATAAATGTGACAAGTGTAAGCTGTAACAATGATTGATGCAAGTAGAAAAAT